TTTCAAAATGATTTCTTAATATAACAGTTTAAACTAAGAACAGGTGCTATGTATTAATTATGCCTAACTTTGTTCATGGCAGTGATTACAAGCAGCATAACTATGCAGCATTTCTAGTTTTTAAATAAAGTTAAACATTTATACTTGGGCTGAAACAATCTGATTAATCATGAATACTCGATTATTGAAATAATTTTCAACTAATACTTAATTTAGTAATAGATTCATTGAAACAAATTTACAGATCAATTTGTTAGCAATAATAATTAGTTGCAGCCCTAATTTATACACAGTCTTTGCTTTTTTTTATGTTTAACATGTTTAAATCATCCTGCTGCAGTTTCATGTCAGGGATTCAGTTTTCTCTGAGTTTATCTGGAAGTAGCTGTTATTCAACCACTGCTTCATGTTCAGTGTTGGGCACGTTACTTTGAAAAAGTAATTAATTATAGTTACTAGTTACTTCTCCCAAAAAGTAACTGAGTTACTAACTGAGTTACTCCACAATAAAAGTAACTAGTTATTAGTAAAAGCAACTATTGCGTTACTTTTGCGTTTCTCGCCCCCTTAACCCTCACCACCCAGCCCCCACCTTCTCGCCGTGTGTTTCCAAAGCCAGCTGAATAGAGTGGACGACAAAGACAAGAACCTGCAGAGAGTTTTGCAGTTATTGCAACTCAATGTAAATGACATCAGGGGGGAACGCCATGTGAAGTTTTTTAACAGGGCATTCAGATCTGGTGAAATTAATAACTGGGGATGTCTAATTCTGAAATCCTGTGTGTTTGGGTTGTTATAGATACTGCAACATCTATGTAGATGTATACTCTGTGTGTGACATAAAATATGGATCTCCATCCCTGCCACAAAGGCCATCAAATAATGTTTAAAATAAAAAATACAGTAGGTTGAGAAGGCACAGTATCCATCCATCCATCCATCCATCCATCCATCCAGATTTCTCCCTTTCTCCATAGAGGCTATCATTTCTGGCTGTTGTCAGGTTAATCATTTGATCGTTCACGCTCTCCATAGTTCTCCTGTGGCGCGAGCACAGGGCGACTGTTGCCGCCTTTAGTGAGCATGCGCATTTCCTGTCGCTTGCGCGGTGAATCGTGCCGCCTGCGCCAAGTACATCCCGCTGCAGCCTGCGGGAAGGCGGGGCTTGATGTCAAGCCCCACCCACATCAAGGACAGCCATATTGGAAATGCTGACCGCTCTTGACTATAGGCGCTGGCGCTGTATGTCCTGTATGTCCTTTTTATTTTTAAATCTTTATTAAATTTTCAGATGTTAAAATAACATTAGTAACAAACAGTCTAAAATAAACAATAAGGAATTATTATGAAGATGTATTTATCTATCCTCAAACCCTATCACAAACAAATGTCATAAAACGTAAATTAAATTGGTAGTTTAGAGACAAATGTACATTACATTGAGGACACATTTATCTATCCAATAATTATCATACACGCACACTTATCCCTATAGTAGTGTCGTTAGGGCTGGTGCAGTGGATTCTGGACAGATTCCCAGTCCATCGCAGATTAAGAAAAAAATCTATCCATCAAATTTCTGACCCGCTTAATCCCTCATGGGGTCACAGGGGTTGCTCGTGCCTATCTCCAGCGTTGATTAAGAAAAGCAGTGCTGAAGTTCAAATAACCAGAGATGGCAAAAGTACTCACTTTCCATACTTGAGTAAAAGTACAGATACTTGTGTTAAAAAATACTCTGGTAAAAGTGGAAGTACTGATTAAACTTCTTTACTCAAAAGTAACAAAGTACAGGCTTGTAAATTTACTTAAAGTATAAAAGTAAAAGTAGAAACCACTTTTTTCATGCCGTTGCCTACATTTTAAATGGATGTCTGCCAATAGGACTAGATCTCCGTTGTGTTCATTTTCAATCATCTCGTCGTCCATACTACTATGCTAATGCCACCGCCACCAAGCTGCAATGATTTGCCGCCAATGAATACCGCCGAATCTGTCCATTCATCTTGTAGTGGTGCGTCAAATGCAACGTAGATTCCCATCCAATTAGACTGAATTTGGTATTGATGACGTGAAAAATAATAATGGTAACTCCATTGAAATGATTCAAAAGTAAAGTAACGAGCCAGTTTTTTAAAATGTAAGGAGTAGAAAGTACAGATATTTGTGTAAAAATGTAAGGAGTAGAAGTAAAAAGTTGCCATAAAAATAAGTAGTAAAGTAAAGTAAAAATATCAGAAAAATCTACTTGAGTACAGTAACGAAGTATTTGTACTTCGTTACTTCCCATCTCTGCAAATAACAATATAATATGAGTAGACCCCGCATTGGCTGTCGCGGCGCAGGAATTACGGCCGCCATATTGGGGCGGTCGACCTGCTACTCAAACCAGCTGATTCAAGCTGAACACACTAATGATGCCTCAGCACTGTGCGGCGTATTTTTGTTTAAATTTAAGGACTATTGACGTCAGGGCTCGAGGGATAACTTTTCACAATTAAGATGAAAACATATCTTTACATATATCTTTATATATATCTTCTTATATGTCTACATGCTTCCCTGCCCTGTTACGTCAGCATTTCCAATATGGCTGTCCTTGATGTGGGCGGGGCTTGATGTCAAGCCTTCCCGCAGGCTGCAGCAGGATGCTTCTCGCCTGTCAGACCGTATCTGATGGGGAAACGCAGCTCTACGCAACACCGGTATTTCCATCAGGAAAACGCTGTTTTGCTGCTGGAGTCCTCCTCACTCTCCATCTCTCTGTGTGTGCTGTACGTTAACACCCACCAGCAGAAACACCCACATACCCAACTGACAGACGGAATCTCACTATACATCAGCCATTCTCATCCTCCCCTCTCTCATGACAAGGCGCGCACCTCTGGATGACCTAAAAAAATAATCTTTAATATCTCTTAAACAAAAGTAGCACAAACAATATTTTTTTCTGCACAAATCTGCACTAACGTTGCACTAACCATTCAGTCTATTTGCAGAGTTTTTTGACGTGGGTGGGATGTCAGCTTCACGCAGCTGCGCACGAGTCCTATTATGAAAAAAGGTTAATTGTGCGACCTGAGTAACGCGCAGTAACGGGGTGTCTGCAATGGTAAGTGCGTTATAGTTACAAAGTAATTAGTTAGATTACTCGTTACTAAAACAAGGTAACGGCGTTAGTAACGCCGTTACTTTCAACGTCGTTAGTCCCATCACTGTTTAAATCCCATATCAAAGAGGTTTCTAGATTTTCCTTCTTTCATCTTAGGAATATTGCAAAAATTTGAAGTATCCTGTCCAGGGGTGATGCTGAGAAACTAGTCCATGCATTTGTTACTTCAAGGCTGGACTATTGTAATTCTTTACTATCAGGAAGTCCACAAACTGTAGTTAAAAGCCTTCAGCTGATCCAAAATGCTGCAGCCAGAGTTCTGATGAAAATTAAAAAGAGAGATCATATCTCTCCTATCCTGGCTTCTCTTCACTGGCTTCCTGTTAAATCCAGAATAGAATTTAAAATCCTCCTTCTCACATATAAAGCCTTAAATAGCCAAGCTCCATCTGATATCAGAGATACGATTGTTCCTTACGTTCCTAACAGAGCACTATGCTCTCAATCTGCAGGTTTACTAGTGGTTCCTAGAATTTCTAAAAGTAGAATGGGAGGCAGATCTTTTAGTTATCAGGCTCCTCTCCTGTGGAACCAACTACCAGTTTTAGTCCGTGAGGCAGACACCCTGTCTACTTTTAAGACTAGGCTTAAAACTTTCCTTTTTGATAAAGCTTATAGTTAGAGTGGCTCAGGTTATCCTGAGCTATCTATATAGTTATGCTGCTATAGGTTTAGACTTCTGAAGGACATAGGGACCCCCATTTCATCATTCTGCTTCATTCTCTCTCTATTCTCCTACTCTAGTTCTAGTTCAATCTTTAACGTTATGCTCTCTCTCCTTTTTCTCAATGTAGCTTTGCCTCGTCTGTTCCTGTTTGGCTGTGACGCCATCCTGGAGAGAAACATCAGCTGTGATTCTTCCATCAACACCCTCATTTATAGATGCTGGAGATCGGCCTGTTTTCCAGTGTAGTCCTGTTTCTCTGACCGTGACTGGCTGGATGTGCCCTCTTCATCCTCTAACATGGGAGCTGGCTCAGAGCTCGTCTGCCTGGCTGTGTGTTTCCTGGACGGGGTCGCAGGAGTCCTATCATGAAAAAAGATTAATTGTGCGACGTGAGTAACGTGCAGTAACGGGGTGTCTGCAATGGTAACTGCATTATAGTTACAGTCAAAGTAATTAGTTAGATTACTCGTTACTAAAACAAGGTAACGGCGTAAGTAACGCTGTTACTCCCATCACTGCATTTAACACGGGACAAACATTTCACCTGAAGGAAAATATTGGTGTCTGGAGCCACATTAAAGTCAGTTGAAAGACATTTGAGCATTAGTTGTGTGTGTGTTGTGCGTTCAGTTTGTCCATGAACGCTGTCTGCAGGCCATTGTGCTTCATGAGATGGAAGTTTATCAACCGGCGCTACAGTTCTGGACACATCCACAGGTTTTTGTGGGTAGGGGAGGTGGAGGGGCCCTTGCAGTTCGGGCCCCTTCCACCATAACATCCTGGGGAGATTTGATAAGGGGGGTGCTGAATCCTAAATAACACTTTTCGTTTTGAGAGCAGGCTGCACAGAATTTACTGTGAGCCTGTAAATTCTGGCTCCACATGGCGAATATGGAGAAATTGTCAGGCTTCTCCGCCTTGAAGCGAGCGTGCACATCCAGGATATGATCCCATCTCACCTTTGACTTCAACCACCGCAGTCAGCCTGCATTCAATCGCACCCAGCATACGGCTCACAGCCTTTGTAAGCAGCCTGATCGATGCCCAAATCGCCACAACATCCTATGTAATAGTAGATTCATCAGGTATCCTTATCAGTTATTGCTTTGAAACTGAATGATTGAACCTTGCATGGTTTAAGTGCATCATTAAAAGCTAAATATGATTTTGATGGTATGTGAGGTGTTGATGTGCAGCTTTAATGGATGGAGCTCAGTGGTTTTTACTCTGCAGTGATGAGATGTGTTCCTTCTGATTTGGTATTGCCTTCCTCCGGGGAGAGCTCTGACCAGGGAATGATCCCACTCCAATCTTCTCTCTGAGCAGACCATATTCCAGTGAGATGAAGCTGCTACCTAAAGCAGTTTGCTTTATTATGTGGACTTGTTTTAATTCGGAGAAATAACTTTTTTTTTTTTTCACCTCAGATCTTGAATGCTAACGACCAGGAGCTGAACCGCTGGTGCTCTCTGAGGAAGACCTGCATGTTCAGGTACTGACTCTGGGCTGATTAAGATGTTTGAACAGTTCAGATTATTTAGTAACGTCGTTCTTTGCTTCCTAAGGTCTGAGAAGGAGGAGCTGTGTGATCTGAAGAATTATAAAGTGAAGGCACAGAATGTGAGGAAGAAGAAGGAAGTCCTGAGCTCTGTGTATTCTGAGTGAGTAGAACTTTAAGCAGCTGGACTCCATCTCTACCGTGGTTAGAAGGTGAAGGTGTTGATCTCTTCCTGATCTGCAGGGAGGACAAAGAAACAACTGAGGCTAAGACCAAGCTGGGAAAGAAACGGCGAGACCGTCTGAAGAACGCCGATAAGCAGATCACAGGAGCGGAAGAAGCGAGCATGGATTCTGCAGAGGAGACGATTCAAGCTCTCAACGAGGCTTTGGACAACACTGAGGAAGGAGAGGAGATCCTGGTACCCAAGAAGAAGAAGAAGCTAGAAGAGCAAACCAAGGATACAGCGGAGCAGACAGCAGAGAAACGAAAAGAAGGCAAGAACAAGACTGCATGGTCCAAGAAGAAGCCCAGGAGGTTAGGTGGACGCCTCCAACCAGGAACCAAGAGGGTGAAAATAGGTGGCCGGGAGTTCAGCAGACAGAGACTGAAGGCCTACGGGCTGAACCCCAAAAGGCTGTACTTCAGACAGCTCGGCAGACAGAAGCGGAAAGAGCAGGAGAAGAAGCTGAAGCAGAAGAACGAGGAGGGATGAGAGCTTCCATTGAGCTGCTGTCTGACCTTATTGGACCATCAGAGAAAAATAAGCTAAGATTTGAATATTCTTTAAAAATGTGTAGAATAAAAATGTAATTGTGCTTTAAACCAGCAATGTCCTCGTTTGCTTCTGTCAGCTGTTTGCCTCATTAAGCCAGAGCGGTGTTCCTCCTGTCACAGCCCGGTTCTACAGCTCAGTCCTGGTGCTGAGATACGAGGCTGCTGGAGTGTTTGCAGCTTTACGCAGCATCGCTGCTTGAGTAAATACTGGGAAACCAAAGTCATTTACTTTTATCCAGGCTACAAATTAGCCAATGAGTTGTTTCAGTCTGGGTTACCAGAAAGAAGACGAGAAAAAGAGCAGAAAAAGTGGACTGGGAGAAGCGCAGTGAACTAGTGAAAGAAAAGAGAAATAGTGTGCTCAAAGATGACCCTGTATATCTTGATTATGTTTGGCTCAACCTGCTGTTGTGAAGCAGGATTCTCCACCATGAACATAATCAAAAATAAATATTGATCAAGGCTCAAAATATGTCAGTTCAGGTGTTTTACATAGAAAGTGAGACAGGAAACTGTTTATACCAAACTGAAAGATTCAAAAACTATTTAGATTTTAAAATAGAAAGATTTTTTATTTTTTATAAAATTCAGTGTATAAGATGGATGCATAAACACCTGCATTTTATTTCAGTGTTAAAAGCTGTTTAAATTAATGGATTATAATTATAAATTTCTCCGGACCTTTACTGGTTGATGATGGTCTTTATTCGGACCCGGACGATTTTAATTGGTTTCTCCTGTTCTAATTCAACATGTTGGGAAAGTCCATCCCTACCAACTACAGGAGAACTAGAGAGTCTGCCTTCTCTGTCAGAGCCCCCAGCACCTGTTCATGCTGAGTATTGCTTGGGGGGCATTTCAGGACAGTGGTTCATGAGGGTGCCATTCATTTCAACCATTTATATTAGCTATAAACTAACTCGAACTATAGTTAGAGTGGCTCTGGTTACTCTGAGCTATTTCTATAGTTATGCTGCTATAAGCTTAGACTGCTGGAGGACATAGGGGACCCATTTTCATCATTCTTCTTCTCTATTCTCCCACACTGTAGAATTTGTTATTTCAATCTCTGACGCTATGCTTTCTCTGCTTTTTCTCATGGTAGCTTCATCTGGTCTGTTCCTGTTTGGCTGTGACACCATCCTGGAGAGAAATATCAGCTGTACTGCCATCGAAACCTTTGTTTATAGATGTTCGAGATCACCCTGTTTTTCAATGTAGTCCTGTTTGACTGGCTGGATGTACTCTCTTTATCCTCTGACATGGGAGGTGGCTTGGTGCTTGTCTGCCTGGCTGTGTGTTTCCTGGACGGGGCCCCCTGTGGAGATGGTTGACTGTTGCCTTTGTATCTCTGCTTCTTTTTATATGCCTGCTTCAGTCTCCTTGAACCCCAGTCGGCCTTGGCAGATGGCCGCTCACACTGAGCCTGGTTCTGCTGGAGGTTTCTTCCTGTTTTTCCTCTCCACTGTCGCCACAAGCATGATAAACCTGAGGGATTGCCTTCGAGTCAGTGACTCAATTCAATGAACTGGTTTTCCTTAGATAAAAAACTTTTAATCAATTTGAATGTGAGATCTGGTTGAATTGTAAAGTGCCTTGAGATGACGTGTTGTGAATTGGCGCTATATAAATAAACTGAATTGAGTATTAGATATATTCTGTGGATTGTCAAATGTAAGTATTGGTACATAAGGCTAAATTAACAGAACACCTTTCCTCCTCGTTAATTTATTGTTGTCCTTTTGTTTTTGATTGTTTTCTGTTTGTGTGTCTTTCTTTATATCAATTCTTGTATGTTTTTAATTAGTTTGATTTTTGTTTATGATCTATGAAAAATTAAAAAACAAAGTTGTACGCAGCTGGTGTGTTCTTGCCTTAATATGTATAGATGTCTTATTGGACGCTGCAGGCAGCGAGGCCGACATGCCTATAGGGCGGTCATCTTGGATCAGACCACAGTTCAGACAGCTGCTGTCAGAATGAATAGGAGGCGCCTCAGATCTCATTTTAATCCCATAGAAGACAAATCAATATCACAATTATCTCTTACATGTAACAAATCCTTAAAAGAACAAAACAAACATATTTACTCAGACTAAAACAATTTAAACTGAGCTCAAGCTTATAGATATATGCAAAGTTATATATTTTGCAATTATTTATTAATATGATTAACACAAAGTTTTATATGCATATACTGTAATATATTATACAAATACTTTATACAGTATATAATTATTATTCAGCATGTTTAAGGATTACTCTTTAATAATCAGTATTATCTATAGAGGAAACATTTGTTTTGGGGATTTACAATAGAGTAAAGTTATTATGTAGTATTGTTTTTAACTTAAAAATTATTTTTTATATTTTTGTCATTGTCAAGACTTAGGTAATGGTCAAAATATTTGTATTTATGCAAATGTAAACATTTGTTCTTTAACCAGTTATTTGTGATATATATATATATATATATATATATATATATATATATATATATATATATATATATATATATATATATATATATAAATTATAATATGAATTTCTAATTGAAATGCTGCTCAAAACCTTGTTTAACCAGTAGAAATTTAATAAATATTTTATTATCTACGAAATGAGAATGAAAACGGCCGGTTTAATCTATTTTTGAAGCCTTAATGAGGAGTTTATTTCTCAAATATGAAATGCGCCATTAACCCCTTGAGTGGCAGTTAGAGTCCACAATTCTGTTTTCGTTCAAATCGGTAAAAATTGTTGGTCGTCACGTCAACAAAGCCGTTCAGTGTATATAACATTCCCGCGTTTGGACGAAGGTAAGAGAAGTCAATAATATTTGGGAAGGGTAAAAATGTCAGCAATTTTTAAATACCAAAGTTTCTGCTGTTCAAAATACAATTTCCTAATGATAATGGAGGACGGGGAGTGTTTACCAGTCAGCTGAAAGTTAATTTGTGTTTTTCTTTCTGTATTTTTGCAGTTTTTCCTGAGACTGAACATTGGCCTAACTTGAAATAATTCATATCGTTGGAATTTCCAATAATATCAACAGTAAGTAAATTTTTTAAGTATGTAAATTGAAATTAATCCAATGAAATTGTTGTGGGTTATGGCTAGTTATCAGTAGCTAGCTAACAGCTGGTATGATACTGTAGTTGTGGGGCATAAAGCCTCATAGAATGTTCTAGAATCTGCACATAAAGATTGTATACCTGTATAAATATGTTTGTGTATAGAAAATATAAAAATGTATGGGCGGCTGTGCTTTGCAACATGCATACATCTTATCAGAATTTGCTATTACTCTTAACCCCACTAAAAATATTTGATTAAACTGAACCATTTGTTTTGTTTTTTTAGCAAATAAACATAACCGAGAAAATTAATTCAATATTCAGCGAGTTAAAGTTGATTAAAATTGATGCTGCACCTGCTCAACACATTATGCTGAGCGGAGCCTAGTGGTCTCCGCCAGTCACGTGACATTTGTTGCTAAGACGCCATTTTTGGTGGAAAAGGCGTAGTGTAAACAACCGCAGCATAGCTAAACGAAGGACTAAAGGATTTAGTTTGTTTCTCTGACTATATGGAAAAAAGTAAGCAGAATGCGAAATTACCGTACCGGCAAAAACTTAATAACGAGGCCAGGGACCGTTACTTGTCGAAACTGTCGGATATTAACGGCATAGATCCTTATGATCTCCTCATCTTCACAAATGGCTCCTTTGTTGTCTGATTTAGATAGGAGGAACAGATTATAGCAGGTGGCCTGCTATAATTTGTTCCCCCCTTATAACTTTTAAGAAATAAAGGTCAATTAACTACAAAGTTTCAGGGGTTAGTTGTCATCATAAAAGATGACAAATTTCAAGTTCTGCACGTTGGAATTGAAGCGGAGTTAAGTCGGGTTGTTCTTCCTACTCCGTGCGCGCTACAAATTTTCGCAGGGATAACTACCTTGGCACGACACCGGGACTGGCAGCCTCTCGCACAACACGATCGTGTCATTTCTGGTAAATAATTGTGCCGAAAGAACAGCCGCATGTGGGTTATCTCGACTTTCCACCTAATATGGTGGTTTTCCCACGTTGCACCGCGCCCGAGGTAAACAATTGACGTCACTTGGCGGAGACCGGTAGGCCGATGGTCTTGAACAGGGGGTCTGTGACCCTTAGGGGTCCATGGAGGTACTGCATGGGGGTCATGAAAGTTTTGGTTGATTAACCTTTTTTGTTAATATTCCCCCCTGCAATTTTTCCCCCTAATTGAAATGTCTTTAAATCCACATTAACATGAATTCAGCACACTGTAGTAAACAGATAAATGGAGGCAGAAGATGTCTTTCAGTCATCAATGCTCACATTCAGCGACACACAGGAGCTCTTTCAAGCTGGGCACCGTTTCATTCACAACACCTGTCCCATCAACAAAGAACCAGAGTCAGAAGTACTTTAATAATCCCAGGGTGAAATTACTTTCGTTACATGAGTCCTTCTGTAATAGATGGACTATAGGACCAGTTTGATTTAACACAATTTCATACAATATATATAATTAGGGGGTCCCCGCTCCATCTCCTGCTATAGGCGAAAGAACAACGGAGCATTAGGGCCAGGCTAGATTTTTTCTGTTTTTAAATACTAGAATGAAGTCGTAATATTATGATATAATACATTACAATTGCTAATGGCGTCAGCTGTAAGACATTGACCTTCACCCCTGTGGTTGTTGGTTCGAGACCCAGGGTAGACTTTCAACAGCTGAACTGTTGCGAAAACTCTAAATCATGTCACAGAAATGCATCACACTGATAAAACCAAAACAATGCATAATTGCACTATATATATTAAATGCTCTGGACTTCCATATCAATGGGTTTTTGCACCATGTTTTTTTTCTCCCACACTGTTTACATTTGATCACTGCTGCACTTTAAGGAATTTAAATGTCATGAAAGTTGTACAAAACAAAATTTTGATTTGTATGCACTCTTGTGTATACAAAATGACAATACAAGTTGTATGAGTCTAAGAATAAAGTTGTTAATTTACAAGAATAAATTCATGAAATTATGAGAATAAAGTTGAAAAATAACGAGAATGAACTCATTAAACTACGAGCCGTTTCAGAAAGACCATTTCGAGCTCCGACCATCACCACCAAACAGCAACCTGAGTCCATTTCCACATCCTGCCCAATTTGATGCTTCTGTGCTGAAATATTTCCTTATTTGTCAAACCAATGCCAAAGTATAACTTCACATGATGCTCGACATTCCACATTTTAGGGAAGACAGTGCTTCTTGCAAGTGTTGCTATAAAATACAACTTTATTCTCATAATATTAGGACTTTATTCTAATATTACGACATCATTCTCGTACTGTTGTGATTTTATTCTCCTAATTTTATGACTTTTACAGCAGCAAAGGTTATAGTAGAAGCCGTCACCTTAGAAAAGTGTAAAAAAGATAACAGATAGGAAAATAAAACAAATAGAGTATTGAAGTGTTTTACAATATAATACTCTGTATCTGGAGAATAAAAAATCAATAACAGCTCTGGACATGTTTACGGTAATGGATGTGAGAAAAATAGCAGCAACTGTGTGTGTGTTTTAGACATGGCGGAGGAATCTCTTGACTCCAAGGAGGTTTTGGAACGCATGGAGTCCCTGCTGGGAAAGGATAGAGAGCTCCGCAGTCTGGAGGAAGTTCCCCAGATGTTCAGGTGAGATGCTCCCCTCTGATGGTGCAGCCTCCGTTCCTCCTTCTGTCATCAACCCATCTACTCATTTTTGTCTTTTCTTTCTCAGCGTGATGAAAGCTTCTACCACGATGGCCAGCATGAGTGTCTGCCTCAACGTGCTGCTGCAGACACAATCTCACGATATTCTCCAAAGGTGGGTCTCCTACAGATACAATAAATAATGAGGTTTAGTTCAGGCCCAGGAAAAAGAAGCAGCTCTTCTAGTAGCACCAGCTGGTGGTTAAAACAAGCTTCCCCTTCATCCAGGTTCATCAAAGTGGGAGGCTTCCAGCTGCTCTCCTCCTGGCTCACCCACTCTGAAAGCACCAACAACACCCCGCTGCTGCGGCTCATCCTGCTCACGCTGCAGAAGCTGCCTCTCAAAGTGAACCACCTCACACAGGTAGCGCCTTCAGATTCTCTATCCGGGTTTTGGGGTTTTAGTCACTTTTGACAACCTTCACCCACTCTGATGTTTTTCCCCAGAACAACGCAGCCAAGTTCGTGAAGCAGCTGAGTAAAAGTGGAGAAACTGAAGGTGAGTTTGAGACTGAAAACAGCATAAATGTTGGTTTGAGGTAGTGTTCATTTTAGCAGCCATTTTTAAATTTAGTTTTAGTTTTAGTCCAGTTTCAGCATTGATTTTTAGTTTTTATCACATTTAGTCGACATCATCCCATTTTTTTTTAGTCTAGTTTTAGTCGACTATAAGTCAGAGCATTTTAGCCTTTATTTTAGTTCAAGAAAACATAATTTTATTAGTTTAGTTTTAGTCAACAAAAACCGTCAACATTTTAGTCTAGTTTTAGTTGGAACATAATTTTAACCTTTTACTTTTTTGTCAGCAGATAATATTTAACATTTCCTAAAATTATTTCACATTTCAACATTTTCTCATCTTTTTGATTAAAAAAAACTCAATTTTAAGGAACACATGCAGACATGGAAGATGTTCTGACAATATTTGCATATTTATTTTGAACATTGTTAAGGTTCAAAG